GAATTTATAAAATATTTTGACAATAATAAAAATATAATGAAAATGATTTAATCATGAATATTCGAATCAGGGACAATCTACATAGCGCAGAATGCCGCAGAAATCATGGTTTGTTTAAAAACGGGAAAATCTACATTACAGAATACTGTCATGATAATTTTTTTTACAATCAACACTAGAGTAGAAGTGAATTTCATATTGACAATAGAATTTTTTTTTTGTGACCATTCTGTTGATTGAGTACAAAAGTCAACGGTTGATGATTACCTTAGTAGCAAATAAACAACGTCAACTTTAGCAAACACTTGGCAGCTCTCTTTCTTCTTCTGAATCTAAAAAAAAATGAATTGTGGATTCACGTTTAATATAGAAGTTGCATTAGATGAATATTGGTCAAATATGGCCAAAAATTTACCCTTTTATCTCAATAGTATTTGAATATATATGGTTACCAATTTCTTCTTGTAGTGTGGAGCAAATTTTTTATAAATATAATTCAATTTTAGATGATAATCAACAAAATTTATCAGAAGGATCTTTACGAAATTTAAATGTGCTTTATTTTTAGGTTTTCCATTTTGTAATATGTTTTAAATAAGAAAAATAACAAAATTAAATAATAATAATAACCAATTTAATGGTCGCGTAACTATTCTTTCTGATTACACATCACCAAATCGTTTAATTATAGATTCGTTTTGAGAAAAAAAACTTAAAACCATAGAATTACTGCAGAACGCATAGATATTAATATCGCAGAATATGGTAATAATAATAGTGATAGTAATTATATATTAATATAGTAATAGTGTTTTTTAATGCACGACATGCATGCGGCGTAGCAGAAAATCCGGTTACACGTGAATTATACTACATACCAAACTAGGAATGCTAAAAATAACTATCTGTTATTATCATGGCCGCCCAATCGTGTTTCGGACATGTGACCTAACCTCTCTATTTTGTTTTTTTTTCATATTAATTAATTTTAAAAGAAAACGTCGCTTTTTTGACCAGGTGAAAGAACAACCAATAAACCATTTAATTAAAATTTTATATTAATATTTCGGGTCTTGTTTATAATAGTAGAGGTCCCATTCACAAATTATTATTCGAATTATTCCTTCTTCTTTTTTTGTTTTGTTCGAATTGCTTGTTTATTCGCTGTTTATTTATTCGCTTTATTCGTTTTATTCATTTTATTCGAATTACTCGATTCATTAAGTTATTCGTTGTTTTATTCGTTTTATTCGAATTACTAGTTTTATTCGTTTTATTTAAAATTGTGCAGTATTGTTGATCATCATTGCTAATTTGATATGTAGTACCGAATATTCATTTGAATATTAATATAGTTAGTTATATTAAATAAGGTTAGAAAATTTTTTACTGATTACTATTACTATATTATATATATCGATTATATTATATATTTCCAGAAACGAACAAACAATAATTATTATCAATAATAATTTTAGCAATACAACAATATATTGATCGCGTATAGTAAGTAGTATATTAACTTGTAAATAAACATAAACACAATACAATCGATCAACAAACATTCAACAAAATGAATACATTTTTGTGTACGTTATTAGTAGATAGAGAGCATTAAGATTGTTTATTATTAACGAAAAAAATAATTCCCATTATCATTACCATCACAAGATTATCGTAATCAGTACTTTCATCTTCGACTAATTCGCTAATGCCAAGACTTATTGTTTATCATTGTTATTTTTACAACAAGTTCTTAACAAATTTGAGTATAAATACTAGAGACGGGCAAGCGTATACGCACTGAACGCATTATACGTCCTTAATAAATTAATACTAAGAATATTTTATTTAATTTTTCATAAAAATGGATACATTACACGTTATATTGAATTTCATGCCGCAATTCGTATTGAGTTGCCTCCTATCTATAGCCGTAATAGGCACCTCGCCGTACGAATCATTCAGGTCAAAATTGGTCTGGATGGTTCGATGTTTAGGGTGCCCATTCGAAGGCTTGCTCTATTTTTGCAGCGTGGGAAATAAAAAAACAGCAATAACTACATTTTGGCTGTCAGCAGCCTATTTCAAGAATAACGAAAACGGAATACGACCAATAGGCCATCACTTTATGGAAGTTGACAAAGAAAATTTCAACGAAGAAGTGATGGCTATTTTGAAAGATTGTACAGCGAAACCGTCGGTACTCGACGTTTTTTCATCATTGGTATCATTGTCCTTCATTTTAAATGGGATATTCACAGGAATAGCTAGGGCAAGTAGCACATGTGTAGAAGATGATTGGACATTCATTCCCATTATCCTGGCATGGGCATTGCCAGCAATTTGTTTGAGGGTCTTTAGTAGAAGGGAAATAGTAATCAGAGAACCTAAAATAAGGATAGAAAAATTGTTAAAAGGATGCAGGGAAAAGTTCAAAAAATACAAAGAAAAACGATCGGGAGAAGAAGAGGCAAAAGGATCAGAAGGTCAAAATGATGATTTGGAAGAATTAGAAAAAAAAATAAAAATTGAATTGGAAGAGTTGAAAAATGAAGTATATTGGTTTAATAATTATGATGAATTAAAAAGGGATTTAGATGAGTTAAAAAAAATGCTGTCAGAAAAAAAAATACCTTTAAAACAACTCCATTATGTAGATTTATGTTTGATAAGAGTTGAGGTTTTTATGATTTTTGCATTCGCATTAATGGTTCCTTGGCTAGCAGTTTTGATTGCCTATTTCACTCCCCCCATAGGCTATGGCTGTCGGAGCATGTATTTTACAGTATTCGGTGCTATATGGTCAGCTAATTCCACTTTGGCATACGCACTCCATTTGAAAGGGAACAAAAATGTAATCGATAATTGGATCATCAATATATGGTTCTGTTTCAGTGGTCTAGTAGTAGCAATTGCCTTAATTTTTCTAGTTCTTTTAAGCCATACAAAGATATGGTGGGTTGTAGTCTTTGGTGATTTTTGCAGTGTTAATGATTCATGCACGGGGACATGATTAAAAAAATACCTATACCAACAATTATCTTTATTTATATTAATTTATTAATTTATTATTTATCTATCTATATTTTCATTGGAACAATTTCGAAATTAATTCCGAAATTGACTTTTAATTTTATTCAATCATAGAAACAAATGTAATAAAACTAGACATTTACTTTATATGTGTGTATGAATATACGAATATTATTAATCGATGAATGTGTTTATAAATCTACGAGAAACATAGCCTGAGAAGTAATTAATTCATATTAATCTAGAATGAAATCATATCTAAGCAATACCATTATTATTATATGTAATTACGAATATAGTAATAATAATGATAATGATAATCAGGTTATCATTATAATATCGTCATTTTAACCATCAGTCATCAAGTTGACGTTTCTTAATGATGTCGTTAATATATATATTTATAATAAATAGAATTGATTTTTTTTAGTGCCTCAACACTGTATAAATCAAAGTCGAAGAATCCTAATACACTAAAAGTATATTAAAACCTTATATTGACATCAACTCCATATAAAACAATTGATGCTCGAGATGGGAGATATTGAATAATTAAAAAAACGATGAAACAAGAAATGATGAAAATAAAACATTAATATCACAATTGAATAATTTTTACAACCGAATTAAATGGTTCCTAATCATTAAAAAAAAAATCACATCTGAAATAACAAACAATTTTCTTGAACAACAATAACATAGGAGTACACCAACAAAACCATCCATTAGCCTGTCGCTCATATGTGATATGATAAAAATACACTGCTAATTTAATTAATGCTAATAATAATAAGGACCTCATTCTAAAATATCCCACCATAAGAACGTTATGATTAGCCTGGTAATTTATCAGACGGATGTGAGGAGGATAGATTCGATAATGAAAAATGGGAGAGCTAACACTTTTAAAAAATAAAACGATTCGCTGTTATATTATTTTCCTAAATATTTTGTTAGAGGGAAAACCAATTAATCAAAATTTATTTTGTAATAGTATCTGATATTTATATATATACAATTTTAAATGCAACCTTGATATTATTTTTATTCTTTGATCCAATCATTCATCCACTTCCTAACACTATCCATAGCATTCTTGACATTTTCTTCATTATAATTTTTAAATTTAGCTCACCAGCTTTTAATAACTAATAAACTACATTTACTTACTCGAGTCGGAAAGCTCATTCGTTTCCTTTTTTTCATTTTTTTTTGTTATTTGATTGACGGTGATAACGCGGTATGGTTGTACAAAGTAAAAGAACTTCTATTGTTTTTGGGCGCGATTTTTTTTTTTTTGGAAAAAACAAATGGATTTCAAACCGTGATTAAACCTCAGTTTAAACTCCGATTTGAAATTGAGCTGGTTACTGATAAAAAAAATCTAATTTACTTAGGTTGTTAAAATATACAGTTTAGTCAAAATTTTGATAAACTGTTTAAATTTTAAATTTATTTTTTACCAGTGTGTTATTCTTTGTAAAAAACCGGATAATTCCTCTTCATCCTTCTCATATTCTTTTAGCATATATAAAATTCTAATGTGTAGCCAACCAATTTTATTATCTAAATTTTTTTTGCCTCATTTTTTAACAACTCATCACGTTATAACCACTGTTTTAAATATATACTTTTAATCTTCTAAATTTAGCGATGCTTCCATAAAAAAATTATTTCAAATAATAGCAATATACTCAACCAACGTCACGATGAATTTCTGCTAATACTATATATATCATTGGAAACTGGTCTTCTTATTAATGGATAATATGGTATTTGAAAATAATCAAGTTCTTTGAGTATTTTGTTTCCTTCTTAATCAATCATCCTCATTATTATTGCCACTACAGGCTTTAACATATATTGTTTCTCTTATGAAACATTGTACCAAGTAGTATCTTGGATATGCTGTTAATGTATGTTTTATTACTGTATAACTTCCTTGGGAATGAGTGTGAAAATGCATTTATGGAGGGATCTAGGCAGAGAAAGAATAATATATTGATCAATTGTTCCTTGTTATAAAATATAAATGTTGTATGTGAAATTGAAATTATGTGAAATTGAAATATTATGGAGTGGGGTGAAATTCTGATTGGCTAATTTGAATTTCACGCATGTAAATTTGAATTTCACATATTAATATTAATATTAATATTAATATGTGAATTGCGAATTCACATAATTTCATTTTCACGTACAACATAAATAAAAATCGTATCACATTATAAATTGTAAATGTCGATCTTTTCACTCTTTCATAAGCAGATTGTCAATTAAATATTTGTTAGTTCCTCAAAAAATACTTCTTATTTCAAATTTTTTTTAATCCTAAGAATTATATTTGGATTATCATCAATAAATACACCAGAATCAGAGCATCAATTAGAAATGGGAATTAATATAATATATACAACAATAATAATAAATAAATAACATTACAGAAGAATTGTTTGTTACACACCATTGCAAAAAAATTCATTTTCTCTATTCATTAAAACACAATAAAAAACATTTTTATTTTTATAAAATGTCATATTATAAATTATTATCAGTAGAAAGAGAGGATTTTGTATATAAAATTTATAATGGAATGTATAATAATACATTGGCTAATTCTGACAGAGAAAACAGAAAAGATTATTTTTTTTCATTAGTCAAGAAAAACAACGAGCTTTCTGAAAATGAAAAAGAATATTGTAAAGAAAGGTTTATTTATTACTATGAATTAGAGAGTGCAGTGCATAAAAAAGGCAATCCAAGAAAATGTAACAAGTGTAAATTGACAAAATATTCTGATA